CAAAATGTTGGGATACAATGACTATATCTCCTAAGAATACTTCTTACGCAGCATGGTCTTCCCTTTTTCACGAGATAATATTTGTTTTTTTACCCTGCACAAGTGAAACAAGTAAAAAAAACTCATTTGTTAACGATATCAGGGACAAAAATCAAATGAAAGTAAGATTTTTTGGCAAAGCTGCCAAAAAATATGACCTTGTTTAGAGACATAATAGAAGACCCCCTTTTAACTTGTGAACGGTAAAACAGAATAGAAGACCCCGGGTCTTCTAATGTGTCGGGGGCTTTAGTGGTAAAATACATTGATAAGACTGAATATATAAATTTTCAAAATTGCTTTTTCAATATTTTTCATACATAAGTATTTATGACAGGGTTGTAATGACAAATTGTACGCGTAAATTGATTTTCACTATCGGCTGTGACGTTTACTAACTTACGTCACATCTTCAGAATATCGCTATAATACACAAATACAAATTTATATAAGAGATAGCACCGGCGATAAATACAGGAAAGAACGATAGAGAAAGATAAAGAAGAAAAGTAACAGGAAAAAGGAAACGAGAATGTCAGCAAATGATATCGCACGAAAGTGACTCAGATTTGTTCATTAATACATAGAAATACATTTAAATGCAAAATCCTTCGCATTTAATAACAAATTTGATCTCGAATGTCCATCAGTTTCGAAGATAGAAAAAACTTTAGAAATTTTGTATTGAATTTAAAACGTCTGAATACAACTTGGAGTGTTGGCCATATGGTTCATTTCATTCAAAGTTGTGATAATCTACCGCCATTAAAATATAAAACACTGCACAACTGCATCTCACGAATATTAAAAAAAGGAACGGTCAATGATAGAAAAAGATCCGGTCGTCCTATAACAACTACAACGCTTGAATTTCAACAAAATGTTAATTATTGTATTAAAATGAAAAAAGGTGCTTCTATCAGAAAAATTGATCTTATTCTCAAAAGAGAACAATTTACGTCGTCTCAAACTTCAGTTTATCGAACAGCTAAACAATTAAATTTAAAATGGTACAAAAAAACGAAAATCCCAAAAATTAACTGATATTGATAAACTAAAACGTATTGAATGTGGAAAAAAATTAAGAAAAAATTTTGGTGTTAGGAAAAATTCTGCTCAATGGAAATGGAATCGCGTTGTGAATTGTGATTTCTCAGGTTTATTTCCTCTTCAAGGTTTTTCAAAATAAAAAAAAATGATGGTGTGGGCCAAGGAAGGCGAAGAAATTGAAGCTGATGTAATTAATGCACTAACAGATAAGTTTCAAAAGAGTATAATATTTTGGGGCACAATATCGTCACAAGGTCTTACTCCATCACGTGCACCAATTAATGTTACTAAATGGTTAGAACAACAACGTACTTCATCGAATGGTAAACGGAAACGAATGTGTTTAACAAATCAGTTGTACGCCAAATTCTCAAAAAGAAAAGACGGCTTCTGCAATCAAAGTAACATTTCGAAAATCTAAACTGCGTCCGATCTTCCACTACGGCCAAGATCAGAAACAACAAACAAGATTAGTACGAAACACAGTAGCTCAATTTTTTAAAGAACGTTTAATATCATCAGTTGGTTTGCTAAATTTGCTGATGTATGGAGGATAGAAAACGTATGGAGGGTATTGAAAGAAAAATTCAAGGAAAAGTGTTTCATACATCACTTGAACTGAAAAAAGAAATTGAGAAAGAAGGAAACAAATTTTCCATTGAAAAATGTGCAAAAATGATGGACGACATTCCTTATCGCTTGCGACTAGTTAGAGAAAACAATGGAGAACATATTCATATGTATTGATTTTTATTTCAATGTACGTTTTTGAAAAATAAATTGTCTTTTGAAAGTGTTTTCTATCGACTTTTAATAAATATAGCTAGTCAAGAAATATTGAAAATATTGAAAAAGCAATTTTGAAAATTTATGTATTCAGTCTTATCAATGTATTTTGCCACTGGTTAAAGTTAGAGAGCTGAAACTTTCAGAAATAAAAGATCATGATGAGATATATATATATAATAAAAATGTCAACCCCTTCGGGCGAGTGAAAGTATGAAAAATATGAATAAGAAATTATCTTCAGTTATTATGGAACACCCTTTATCTCAAAAATAAAAAAAAGAACGTAACAAGTGTTCACAATTCCAGATGTGTCTGATCCCTTCTTCCGCCCCCCTCCCCCTCCTGTTCGAAAATGTTCAATCTCTATTAACATCTCTCTCTCCCCTGCCATTTTCTGAACATTCTTTATGGATGACTAGCAAATGTGAACCAAGAATCACTATAGTCTCTCCATTATTCTTGTGAGTGCATGTCATGGCGATTAAGCAGCCTATAATCATTGGCCAATCACAAGATCGCGTATGAAAATCATTATCATCACGATGAAGCTCTTGTTGTTGACCGCCAAGATTTACGCGAAAGCCGACGGTGGATGGAATGATTGGTTTGAACTGGACAGTTTTCTTTTGTGTGCCCAAGTAAAAAGAGTATGTCGATGTAAGTAATTGATTGGCCACAGTTAAAAGCAAAGGATGCATGGCCAAGTCGACACAAGCACGTGAAATGGCAAAGAAGTCCGTGGCTCGTTGAGTGATCGGAGGAAAAAAACTGATTTGTCGACAACATCGGACTCAAAATGTGGTGGCAGATCTTTTTTGTACTTGTTCAACATGGCTCCTCGAATACATTCCAGTAACAATAGTTACGCCATCTCGCCGAAGACATTCTAAAATCTCATCTTCGGTATTTTCCTTCGTTTCTGGTATCCGTACGATATGTGCTGTTGTGGCAGACAACAAATGAACGAGAACAAGTAACAGAAAAGCTTTGTTTTCACAACTTACTTTATTTATAAAATATTACTACTTTGAGTCGTAGCAAGAACTCATATAATATGATAAAAACAAAAAACTGTAACTTATCAGTGTTGACTTCTATTGTATGCTGCATACAAGATCCAAAACACGCCGCGCAATGATAAAGTGAGAGCGAATATGTAATGATAAGGGTGCTTGGGTAGGTTTCCTAATATAAATCGAGGCTCAAATGGGTGGATGTGGGCATGGGTGTGGGTGTGGGTGGATGTAGATGTGGGTTTGGGTGTGCGGTGTAGGTGTGAGTGTGAGTGTGTTTGTGATCTTCTTCTCTCCACATACCCACATGCACCCAACAAACTTAGCTGGTAGCGATCTGAGTTCGTAGCCAAGTCGGGTGTGAATGTGGGTGGATGTAGATATGGGTGTGGGGAATGTAGATGTCGGTTTGTGTTGGTGTGGGTGGATGTAGGTGTGAGTGTGGGTGAATATAGATGTTGATGTAGGTGAATATAGGTGTTGGTATGGGTGTGCTTTTCTTCTCTCAACATACCCACACCCACTCACCAACTCAGTTGGTTATCATCGGACTTGGTCGTCGATTCAGCCGACTTGGAAACTATCTGACGTGGTTGTAACTGACTTAGTGTCATAGACTAATTATCTAAAATATAATTGTTGCCTATATAACCGATTAAATTCATCTTATATTCGTTTTTGGTGATAAATTCATTCGCGAATATGAATCGGCGAACTTTGTTTTCGATGTATACCTTTCAATGAAAATTTGTTTTCGGTGAAATTCGTCTTCGGTAAAAATAGACTAAATCTGTGTATGTAAGGATGTTCTGGAAACAAGTTACAACTTGAAAAAGATATCTAAAATCATGTTCAGTGTCATTCGCGTTCATTTTTGGTTTTCAATATAATGAGCCTATTACTGTAATTGGAAGGAAAAGTCGTCTGTCCTTGACTTTAAAAGGCGGGATGTAAAAATTGCAACAATTTATAACTTTCTTATTCAATGAAAACCACTTTTATACATGATACACACCATCCACCCGATTCAACGAATAACCTCAAGAAAGTGGAACACGAATATACAGTGACCAACCAACATCCAATACACCATATATGAATGACGTATAACTAACATAATCGTTCAGTAGATTTGACCGAAACGTAACCTAATAGTTATAAAATCATGAATTTCAGTTATGTTGACATCATTTATCTCTTGAAGATCATACAAAATGACGTAGTTTCTTTTAAAAAAAATGAACTGACCAAGTGTCATACTTGATTGATTTCTTTATAATGAATATTACCATTTTATTTCGAAAATCATTCAATGAAATAGCATTACTATAGTACATATGAACTTACTCAGATGAATGATTTCGGTTATCTACATCATATTACTTGAATAGCTTATTGGATAACGAATCAGCTGTCTATGACGTTGATTGTCCACAAGACTTTTATAGAATTGAGGCTTATCCATGATGATTGAAGCTCGAGATAATTTTCTGTTCGTGGTGCTCTTTCATCTTTCGATTTTAGAATGGTTCAATTTGTTTCAATGATTATATCGATTCATTAATTTTGTACTGTCGATCAAGATAGAAACTTTGCTTGAACAAAATCGGATTTGCCGCAAGCAAAAAAACATTTAACTAAATTTATTGCTGAAAAGATTATGCTCATGAATGAGTTTTACAATGAAACATTCCTTCAAAGAGTTTGAAGAAGTAAGTAATGCATGAGAAGACCAAACGGACTGAAAAATATAAATCCAATTAATGTATTTGAAAATGTATTCACTGTTGAGAATGTATTCATATAGTAATAAAAAAAACCTTGCCTGCCACGGCATGAAAGATATAAAGAAAAAAGAGAGGTATCAATGATGAATGAATGAAAAAGAGCTTTATTAGCGGATTTGACCACTGAGGTCCTGAACCGCAAAAAGTGCGCAAAAGAAATACATAATTAAATTAGTCATTCATTACAAAATGAAAGCAGTTTAT